CCCCAGTGCCGAAATTTGGCTGCTCGGCCAAGTTTATATGCTGAATACAAAATTGACAACTCTTAAACATGTATCAGATGATCCTGTATTTCTCGCGTTTCGCGCTCTAGAGTGCTGGAAATGGTAATGATGCGAAGTGAAACAAACTATTTGTTAAAGTACGAATATAGTTTTCACTTGAACCAGTCTACTGCTTCTCTTGACTTACTGATTTTTCCTTTCCGTTTTAAGCAGTTGGTAATTAATGAAAAGGTGTACTCTAACATGATAAATAGGAATATGATAGACATTTTGCGAAGCCTAGAATTACTAAAATTTTTGAAATGGGAATCTTCAAAACTGAAACTGTTCCTTAGAAAAAAAATTCGATTAACAACGAAAAACTACCAACTACCCGCTAACTAGCCAGGCACAACCGGGTATGCAGGCTAGTAGTGGATGAAGTAAACATAATGAGAAATCACCTTCTTCAAATATTAGTGGAGAGAATACGTTTAGAATTAATTGACCAATGACCGGGTTTCTCAGTAACCACTTATTAAAACGGGATTCGTCGGTAGGAGCAACCAGCATTAAGTGTTCAAGCAATGCGGCAGAATCATTGACGCTCAGATGATTACGACGCGCATAGATAGAAACAATCCCTGCCACTGCCTAGAACACATTTCAGTTCTCATAGCGAAAACACCCTACAGACGTAACTTCGTCAAACCTTGGCAATCGATCCGAAAATTTTCAGCAACGCTGCAGACTGATCAGACGCGTCCCCAAACAAATCATCAGCCAATTGCAATACATTTGAGAGTGTGTACTGATCATGCCCGATTGCTTTGTAAATAGCCGCAACTTCAGGTTGTAGCCTTTGGTAGACTTCCTAGATCAGCATATTGTACATAGTTGCGTCTTCGCTATACTCTTTAGTGAAAGCTTACGGTCGCTGGTAGGCTTTGAAACACACCTCGAACTGAGCGCTGTTAGGAGATACATTCCCTTTCGTGAGCTTAATCAACTCCATTTCTGTTCTTCGAACTTGCTCGCTGCTGAGATGAGAAAGCTGACTCTCCTTCGTTGATTTCGATGCTTGAGCTCCCATTGATCCTCGAAATTCTCCTTTTAAAGAATGCTACCTCAATTTAGCCAAGTAGCTCCATGTTTTTTCTCAACATTGTGCATTTATAAGACTGAAGCATAGGCAAATTTATTATCGATGAATAAGTGCATAATTGGCAAACAAGATTAAAACACGTACATCAGGCTGCTGAGAGTATTAGATATAATGAAGGATCCAACTTCAAAAACAAACATTTACGCAAGAATAGTGCATTGCACCATTATAATCCAAACTATTCCATAGTTGCACGGCGTGCAGATCAAAAAAGTGAAATAATCATGGTTGCTGTTGTTCAATTTGATTTTGAGCCATAACATCGGAGATGTTCTTTTCTAAGTCGTCGATGCGCTTGGTCATATCATCGATACGGCGAATAATCTGGTCGGACATATGCTGAAATCGATCCTGCGTCTGCTGAAGAACTCCTTGAATCTGCAAAGAGGCAATTTGTCATGCGTCTTGTCATGTATGAATGCTCAGTCCAGAACAGGTTTAAAATGATGATACAAACTGAACTTTGCAACAGCATCACAACCTTGCCATAATAAGTCATATCAGCAGCCAATTTCCAAAAAAGATTTTGGAAATGCTATCTATTCTCATAAGACGTTACTTTCAAAAAGGAAAATTAGCTGCGCGTACAACCCCTTGCTGTTCCGCTGCTGCTGAAGCTGTTCACACCCTTTTCATGCTTGAATAAACCTAAAAATAGGCAGTAATGCATGATTAGAATGATATGT